TTCATGGGAATGATGATGCTGAAGCATAGAGTTGGGGGCTGTGTCTGCCCATCACTGCCTAGGCTTACTGCTGGTGCACACAGAGGCAGCACAGCATGGCAGGAAGGGCATTGGATTTGGGGTCAAGAGACCCAGGTTCTAGCACCAGCTCTCTTAGTAGTGATGTGACGTTGGACAATCACATCCACTCTTTAGGTCTATTTCTAAAAGTTAGATGTCATCATCTACCTGGCTTATCTACATCACAGGACTATTTTAATGAATTCACATAACAATGTCTACAAAAGCACTTCATAAGTTGGAGATGTGCAAAACAAATGCGAGCTGCTGGACGGTGCCTGGCATATTGCATGCACACAAATGTTTGCTGAATGAATGAACTTCAATCTCAAGATGCACAAGAACTCAAGAACTGACGTGAGGACAACCCTAGATCTTGTGTGTGGACACTTACTTGTTTTGGCGACAACCTATGGTTTACTATTTGATACCAGAGTCTCTCTTGGAACTTTGATGCTAGGTGACCCACTGTTGTGGGTGTAGCATGTCTCTCAAAAACGTGTTGAAGTCCTAATCCTGGGTATCTGTGAATGTGTCTTATTTGGAAATAGTCTTTGGAGATATAATTAGTTGGGTTGATATGAGGTCCTAGTGGAACAGGGTGTGCCCTAATCCAATATGACTGGTGTCCTTATAAAAAGAGAAGAGACACACAGAGGGAAGATGGCTATGTGAAGACAGAGGCAGAGATTGGCATGATGCAGCTACAAATCAAGGAAGGCATGGGGCCACCACAAGCTGGGACAGACAAGGAAGGATCTTCACCTAGAGCCTTTGGAGACAGCATGGCCCTGCTGACACCCTGAATTCAGACTTCTCACCTCCAGAGCTGTGACACAATATAGTTGTGCTGTTTTAAGCCCCCCAGTTTGTGGTCCTTTATTACGGCAGCCGCAGGAAACTAATACACCACCAAGCCTCACAGCCCTCAAATGTAAGGCTCTGTCTGGTCATCCATTAGTTCTCCCACTCTCATTTCCGTATCACTCAGGTTCTCTTCTGTTTCACCCCTTCTTCCCCTTCATTCCACGGCAAACAGGCTACCTCCCTGTCCACAATACATGCCCCTTAGAGGACTACATCCACATCCATGATTTCAACCTCAAAGCTGACTTCCAAAGCTCTACCCCAGCCCAGTCCTTTCTCCCATAAATCCCACTGCCAGCTGGTCCTCTCTGGTTGGATGCTTCCCAAAGCTGACTGGAACTTAGTCTGAGGGCACTTGGTCCACCCCAGGCTTTCACTGTGGCTCTCCTTCCTCTGCAGTCCTCACATCCACGCTCCTCTCTCCCCTTCCTCCCACATTTCATCACTCTGGAGGCAGGACTGGCATTCTAGTGTTCTCAGTGTTGCTTCGGCAGCATCACACCTACACCCTCATGGACAAGCCCAACCTCCTCTGAGGTTCCTGCCATCGCGTTCTACCACCCTCTGCCCGCCACTCATCACAGCACCGCTGCCCTCCCTCCTGGCCACTCCTCTGTCTCTAATGCCTTGTTCACTCCAGCCCAGGCCTCCTCTCATCAAGTCCTGCCAACAGTCGGGAGACGACAATGGTACGTGGACAACCCACCCAACAACCCAACTGCTCAGCACTTGCCTTCTCAAATATCTTTCAATTCATTCAATGTCAGCCACCCTCCTATGAGACCACTCAGACCCTCCTCTCCCCTACTCAGCCCCCAAAATCTTAAACTCCAGTGGCCTCTCTGTCTCCCCTTTACTGTCAACGCGCCTGCATTCTCGTCGCCTTTTCTCCACACCTATCAGCCTTCTCCCATCTCCACCTCCTTCTCTGCCAGCCAAGATTCCAAGGTCAAAACTTTTAAATGCTCTCTGGTCCAAACCCCCAACTGCTTTGTCACCCTTGACCTTTTAACAGCTACCTAACAAACCCCCAACCCCAGATCAGTCTGATAGCCCTTCAGCTCCACTCCTACCCTCTGGCGACTGGAAGAGAAGATCGCTAGAGGGAAAATAAATTGCAACCACTGGAGGTGCCACCAGTACAAATTCAGAGCCTCCCACCTCAGCCGGTGCCTCTGCTACACCAGGCAAGTCACCCATGTCTTCCTGCCCAGAGCCTCACTCTGCCCCAGCCAAACCTTTACTGTCCTCCTCAAGCCAGCCCTTTCCCCCTCCCCCAATACCCTCAATAAACAGCCTCACCTTCTTGTCCCCACAGAAAATGGGCATCAGGTGAGAACTCATGTCTGCCTCCCATCACCACCTAACCTGTACCTTTTCCATCTACACTGTTCACTCTTGTCTCGGTAGAAAAGGTGACCCTCTTCCTGACCAAGAGCAATGTTAACCTCTGGACCTCATCCCCTCTCACCTGCTCACTGACCTCACTACAATGAGAATTCCCTTTCCTCATCAGAGTCTTCAATCTCTCCCTCCACACGACCCTCTCCTGTCAACACCGATTGCTCAGGTCTCTCTCATCTTTAAAAAAACAACAAAAACCAGACTATTTCAACTGTACATCCTACAGTCCTCTCTCCTTCCCAGCCCAGCTACACATATTTTCCCAACTCCCACCCTCTCCTCATTTCACTGAAACTGGTTCCTTGCCACGAATACAAATGACCCCCACAGCTTGGTATTGACTGTGATCATTTCCAAATCCAGATCTTACCCGTCATTTCTCTGCATTTCACACTGTTGACTACTTCCCATTCTTTTTTTTTTACAGAGCCAATTAGTTTCTCGTTAAACAATTAATACACAAATTGTTTTGTGACATTGGTTGCCAATCCCGCGATGTGTCAATACTCTCCCCTTCTCGACCTCAGGTTCCCCATTTCCATTCTTCCAGTTTTCCTGTCCCCTCCTGCCTTCTCATCGTTGCTTTTGTGCTGGTGTGCCCATTTAGTCTCATATACATGGTTGAACTACTTGTGTTATTGTTTGCTTTATGGGCCTTTCTAATCTTTGGCTGGAGGGTGAACTTCAGGAGTGACTTCAGTACTGAGTTAAAAGGGTGTCTGGGGGCCATACTCTCAGGGTTTCTCCAGTCTCTGTCAGACCAGTAAGTCTAGTCTTCTTTTGTGAGTTTGAATTTTTTTCTACATTTTTCTCCTGCTCTATTTAGGACCCTCTATTATGAACCCTGTCAGAGCAATCAGTGGTGGTAGCCGGGCACGATCTAGTTGTGCTAGATACTTCCCCTCTTGAGATTCCTTTCTCTTTTTGCTTTGGGGTCCTCTCTCTCCGGGTTTACTCCTACATATCTGGCTACTCCCTCTCAGGCCCCTTGTGCTTGCCTGTCCCTTGCATGTCAGATCTGTCCTCAGCCTCCTTCTCATTCAACACATGCCCCTTAGAGGACCACATCCACACCCATGATTTCAACCTCAATGTTGACTGTCAACACATTAGCCCCAGCCTAGTCCTATCTCCCATAAATCCACCTGCCAGTTGGTCCTCTCTAGTTGGAACCTCCCAAAGGCACCTAGAACTCAATGTGTCCAAAACTAAACTCATCGTTATCTCCCCGCAAAACTTGCTCCTTCTCCTGCGTTTCCTCAGTCAGAGAATATTCATACTCCTAAAGCTGCTAAACCAGAAGTCCTAGAAACATCCTCTACCCCCTCCCTTCCTTTGTCTTCCACTTCTAATTTATCACCTAGTCCTATTGATTCTAACTTCTAAATGTCTTTTGAATTTGTCCTCTTCTTTCCATCCCCACTGCTGCAGCCTAGACTTCTACATAGCTCCAAAAATGGTTTCCTTGACTCCTGTCCCACCTCTCAATCTACTGTCTACACTGAGACCTAGAGAGACCCCCTCCCACCGATTTCTGCCTACTACCCTTCAATAGCTTCATGCTGCCCCCAGACACAACATGGCAAGGCCTCTGGTGATCTGGCCTCTGTCTACCTGCCAGTCCCCAGAAACACTGTACGTTCCAACTACAATGAACCCCCCACCCCACCACCCCACTCTTTCTTGGCTAAATTATACTCCTTCACGATTCATCTCAATGGTTTCCTCTAGGTCTTCCCCAACTCCCTCTCCCAACTCCCTGTGGGCTACACGCTCTCCTCAGAGCTCCCATAGCATCTGTCATAGCCGTTACCACCCTGCTCTGTCATTAACTGTCCATTCACCCATCTGTCTCCCCCTCTAGACAGCCACCCCAGCTCATGAAGTCTTGTAATAATAAATACTCGATAAATATTCGCTATATGAACAAAAGAATGAATACACACATTCATAAAGTGTCAAACTGGCTTTTCTCCTTACCAAACAACCCTTCATGTGTTCCTCCCCTATCTTCTTTGGTTGGTAGTTATAATAAAAACAATACCGTGCCAGGCTCTGGGAGTTCTGGTGGTACAGTGGTTAAGTATTTGGCTGCTAACCAAAAGGTCAGCAGTTCAAATCCACCAGTGCTCCTTGGAAACCCTATGGGGAAGTTCTACTCTGTCCTATAGGGTCACTATGAGTTGGAATCGACTCGATGGCAACGGTTTTGTTTTGTTTTTTTTTCCGGTCAGGACCTGTTCCAAATATCTTACATATATTAACACATTTAATCCTTCAACAACCCTGCTATTATTACCCCCATTTTCAACTAGGGAAACTGAAGTACAAAGAGGTAAAGTAACTTGTCCAGCTAGTAAGTGGCAGAACCAGGGTTGAATTCTAGTCTGTGCTTTCAAACCACTATACTTACCACCTCTTCATGGCGTATTTAAGGAAAACAGACCACCAAAGTTAATATTGGCCTGAGCAAAATATAATTTTGAAAAACAGACCTGTACCCCCATACAAACACAAATTTGCCATTTTTGGAATTAGTTCTTGCTTTTGGCTTAGTCATACCTCCGACTCCTGCAACCAGCGCTGATAACTGCAGGCAGCAGGATGTCAGCACACACCTGAGCCCCAGTAGTCACCTACCCAGACAGCCCTCCTTGTGCCCACCTCACCTTGTCTGCGATGCCCTCAGCCTCCTCGGCCAGGAGGTACACGTTGCTGCTGTCAGCCAGCAGCAGGGCCGTGTCCGTGGTGGAGGAGGAGCGGGGACGGCCCTGGTGCTGGTGCAGGATGGCGGCCAGGCTGCTGTCCTGGGGGGCCTTGCGCAGCAGGTGGGGACTGCCACGCTGGGGCTCCAGGGAGCTGCTCTTGGTGCGCCGGCTGCTGCCCCCGATGCTGCCGCCCCCGCTGCCGCTGTGCAGGCTGGCACCCCGCTTGATGGAGGGCCGGGAGCGGATCTGCTGCAGCACACGGTTGAAAGCGGTGGGCCGGGCGGGCAGGTCATGCAGGGACACCGCGTAGGAGACGCGGTGCATCTCCGGGGAGCGCTCCTTCTCATCAGGGGAGTCATGGTCGGACATGCCCTGGGGACGCTGCTGCTGGCTATCCTGAGACGCCTGGTGCTCCCTCTCGCGCGACCGGCGGCGGCTGTGGAACAGGTGCTTCAGGCCCTGGCCAAACATGGAGCCCTCCGAGAGCTGCTGGGTTTTCTGAAGGGGAGGAGATGAAGAACCCCAGTGAGAGGAACACTCCTGATGGCCTGGCAGCTGGGGGTGAAAGTGGGGGGTCTGCTCTTGGGAGACCAGCATAGCTGCTACAGCCATCTGAAGCCCAACGATCCCTGTGAGTGGCCTGTCATGCCCAAAAGGTACCTTGCAGAAAGGTGGCAACTCACCCCTTTCTTTCTCAAAGAAATGTACCCCCATGGCTCCCAACAGGACATTCCAAATCCACACGTGGATTCAGGGTTACTGGGAATGATGCTCTTGGGACTACAGTCTGGGGCTCAGTGGCACACACAGGTAGCACTTGGTTCACTGGGTTATATTCCTCAGGATGGATTCTTAGTACCTCCCTCTTTCTAAGTCAGGCCCTCTTTCAGGCCACACCGGCTCTTTTAGACCAAGGCATCCGTTTCCAAAGACGCCTCATTATGACACTCCCTGGGAAAAATGGGGTCATACAATTTACATTGTTGTAACAGATGCTAATTGCCTACCCGGTATCTAGCTATTCCCTTTCTTTCCTATCAACCAAACTGCAAGACCTTAAAGTACCTTGCTAAAAATTCCTGCCTCATCAGGCTTCCTTGCAGTTAGGAGCAGCCGCATGACATAGTTTTGGTCAATGAAAAGCAAGGTGAGGGTTTCTGGGAACACTTGCTTTCCTGACAAAGTCAATGGCCCTTCCTACTTCTTCGTATCTGGAATGTGGAGGTAATGCCTGGAGATGCAGCAGCCATTTTGCAGCCACAGGGTGACTGGCCTGTCTTGCTCCACAGATGGTGGAGAACTTGATAGCCTTGAGGAGCACCCTAGCTGTGAGCCACCTGTCCTGAGATTCTTGTTGCATGAAATAAATCAACCTATCTCCATCTAGGGGGGCAGAAGTAGTTCGGTGGTATAATTCTCACCTTCCATGCAAGAGACCCAGGGTTTGATTCCTGGCCAAGTTACCTGAACAAGTTTCAGTGGAATTTCCAGACTAAGAAGGACTAAAAGACAGGCCTAGAAATCTACTTCCAAAAACCAGCCAATGAAAATACCATGGATTACAATGGTGCAATAGTAAGTGATTATGGGGATAGCACAGGACCAGGCCACATTCTGTTGTGCATGGGGTCACTACAAATCGGCGGCCAGCCTGACGGCAGCCTACAACAACTCATAGCAACCCTACAGGACAGAGTAGAACTGCCCCACATAAGGTTTCCTAGGCAGAAGTCCTTATGGGAGCAAATAACCAGGTCTTTGCTCCCATAGTGCCAGTGGGTGGGTTCGAACTACCAATCTTTTGGTTAGCAGCTGAGTGCTTAACTGTTGCATCACCATCACTGTGAGTTAGAATCAACTCAACGGCACATAACTTCTTTGTCTATATAACTCTAGTAGGATTTTCTGTTATTTGTAGCCACTCTCATTCCTGATATAGTTGGCAATGAAATAAGATTTACTTGTATGAGCATACCTTGTAGTGTAGTTGCTAATGTAACCAATTCTTTAGCATACATGTCAGAACCAGCCATCCAAATAAGTGTCTTTCTGCTCAGATTGGAACAAAACAAAGAGGCCTTAGAGCCCAGTGTTGGCCTGGCCCAGCTCCCTGTTAGTGCTGTCGCTGAGATCCTCCACCTGCTCCTCAGGCGGGCCTGCTCAGGGAGAGGTAGCCAGAAGTCAAACCAAGGCAACACGTGGTCTAACTCCAGACAGCCGCTGTCAGGAGGATGGTTTATCTGGCCAGGCCGAGCCCTCTGCAGAGCCTCTGAGCAGTTGGGAGGATGGTATGGGACCCCACCCTCTGTAACTCCTAAGAGGGAAACTCAGAACCTAGCAGTTGGGGGTTCAATGAGCCATAGCAGGTCTTCCTCTGTGTGGAGCAGCCCACAACTCATGAGGTGGCCTCAGTCATTTTTTAAAACATTCTAAAAACTTAATACATATTACATTTTCTTTTTTCCTAGAAACAGTTTCAGAGCAGGAAACTTAGACCACTCAGAAATCAGAGAAAACAATCCTTAGGTCTTCTAAACTGCCTTAGCCTGGTCTCACTGTTACTTCACACCTCAGCATGGATAGTTTGTATAGACAGTTATACTTACATCTAGTTGTAAATAAACTGTAAACCAGTTGCCATCCAGTCAACTATGACTCACGGCAACCCCTTGTGTGTCAGAGTAGAACTGTGCTCCATGGGGTTTTCAGTGGCTGATTTTTTAGAAGTAGATCCCACCATGTATTTGTATACAAATTTAGGATTTTCATTCTTCACCTCATTTGAGACTCCCCACAACCCTCAGAAGTAGGCAGGGCCCTTACATTATCTATTTTACAGACTAGATACTTTCCATCATCACAGGAACCATGAACTAATCATTTACAAATTTTCAAGGTGATTTTCTCCTATATTATCTCAACTGATTTTCCCAGATGCAATAGCAACAACAGCAATATTTCCATTTGTAGATGAGGAAATCAAGGCTACCACCATTCTTCCCTGAGAAGAATTTAACTTTGGGGCAGCCCTGGAGACGTCAAGCTACACAGTCCCAGCAGACCCAGGTCCTCTCCTGGGAGGTCCCATCCTCTCAGGGTCGACCTGAGGTAGGACCATGAGACCTGTCTGAGCTGCTCTGGGTAGAACCAAGACATCCAGGTAGCCTCAACTTGGGAGCACACTCCACCGTAAATTTGAACCTGGCCAGATCCTGTAGACCTCTAGACCAGGGACCAGCCAGGACACCACCCTTCTCCCCAGTTCCAAGCTGATAGAAGACTTCCTTCCAAGCATCATGGATGGGGCCAGCTGGCTCTGGCATTCACCCAGCTGCTTCTGTCAAAGGGTCACATTACATATTACAAATTGTCTTTCTAGCATTCTATTCCAGGTCTCCACCCCCTACTCCTAAACTGGCTTCTCTAACATTGCGGCTCCCCTTCTATATCCACTCAGGTAAAAGAATTATTCTTCAGAAAAAATTCACCAGAGGGGGAGCTACAAGGCATTTTTTCTTCCTCACCCCTGGAAAAGGTGGAGGTGCTGGGAGAGGAATAGCAGGCAACTCTGTCTGCCATCTTGCCTTGGATCCCAAAATCTTTGGTCAGTTTACATTAAAATTACACAAGAGCATTTTTCAAAGTGCTGTCTAGTTTATGCTGCATTCTAGCATGAGTCTAGCCTAACCTTAGGAGGTAGGATATGACAGAACATAGTATCAGTATCTCCACTTTGCACATGAAGAAACTGAGGCACAGCACAGCTGAGTGGATCATCTAAGCCACACAGACTAACCCCAACTTCTAGTCTAATTTACCTCTACTGGCCCATGCACTGACTCCAAGACTAATCTACCAGTTGCCATTGAGTCAGCTCAGACTCATGGCAACCCCATGTGTGTCAGAGTTTTCAATGGCTCCATAGGGTTTTCAATGGCTGATGTTTTGGAAGTAGATCACCAGGCCTTTCTTCCGAGGTGCCTCTGGGTGGAACTGAACCTCTAACATTTTGGTTAGCAGTCAAGCACATTAATTGTTTTCACACCCAGGGACTCCAAGACTAAACTAGATATGGTATTTACATTTGCCTCAGAACAGTATCGAAAGCAGGATCAAACCAAAACAAAAATATCTGGGCCTGGGGGAGGTAGGTCCCCTCAACTATAGTCATGGATCTGCCCATACCCCGTTACAGGACTCGGGCAAGACCCTTAACCACTGTGGGTCTTCATTTCCCCTCTCCAAGTCTGTTCTGCAGGTAAAGGGAAGTCAGGGATCGTGACTGTGCAAGCTCAGGACCTTCTTCCAAGTAGCACCGAGGAGTCTGCTGAAGTCCATGGAGGTATGACGACAAAGAACAAAAAGAAGTCAGAGATAGATAGGAAGAGGAAATGGAATGCGTGACTAATAATCTCCGTGAACCACTGCCTCCTTTGTCACGAGACCAGAACTGGATGGTGCCTGGCTATCAGTACTGAATGTTTTGATCAAATAATCTATAGAAAAATTCTGACTAAAAGGGGAGAAATGCAGAACAGAATTTCAAATTCTCATGGAATCCAAACTTTCTGGAGCCATTGAGACTGGATGAACCACCAAAACTATTGCCCTGAGATAATCTTTAAACCTTTAACCAAAAATATCCCCTGAAGTCTTCTAAAAACCCTACAATAGTGTAGCTTATTTAGTAAAGAATGTCTGCCTTGAGCATTTTGCTCTGTTAAAGAACTATCTATATGGGATCAAACTGACAACAGCGACTGGGAAGATTAGATAGGAAACTTAGGGGACAGTGAGTTGATGTTAATGGAGGAGGGACAATTCAGAAAAGCAGGGTGAGAATGATGGCACAATGTTACTGAATTGTACGTGTAGAAATCGTTCAGTTGGTATATTTTCTGCTCTGTATGTTTTCAACAACAACAATAAAATAAAATATTAACAAAAGGAAGTCAAAGAATAATGTGGGGCAGGGTGCTCCAAATGCAGGTGTGAGGCAGGAATAGTGGGGTGATACACTGGGGCTGGGCTGTTCTGCATGTGGGTGTCAGGGAGGAGATGGTTCTGGAGTTTTGACATAACACAGTAAGTTTAAAAAAAAGGAAAAGAAGAAGAAAAGAAAACTCAGCACATACACAAAACCAGCTACAAGTTTTGAAAGTGAGGAAAACCATGGTGACTAGCTTGAGGGAACTTAGCCGCCAACGCAGCAGAAAGCACCACCTGCTCTGACTAACAGGTTCCAGCTACTAAATGTCACTTGCTTTTCCATATTGACTTTTCCCTAACTGCCAGAAATCATTTTGGTGGCCAAACTAAGCCATGCATTAGGAAAAGAGAGACGAGCTGTTTCAGAGTTAAAGGCAGGCACAAACAGAGCTGCCCCCAGAGCTACCCAGAGGCTAGAAGTTACCGGAAGGGAGAGCTTCCTGGGTTAGGTGCCTATACCTGCTGACATAAATGAAGAAGGTTTGCTGTCCTCCCCGGAACTGTTCTTA